TTTTTAAAAAAGAACAATTTTTCCCAAATATACCGAATATATATATATATATATATATATATATATATATATATATATATATATATATATATGTTTCATTAAAATGACATTCAAGGTACTACGGTTAAGCTTTTAATTTAATTTTCTTGTCTCCGAACAAGAGCTTCATTTTCTAGACAAAGAGTGTGTAAGAACTGTCCAAATGTTTTATAGTTCCGAGCGCTTTCGGCTATACCTTTAGTCATTATCAAGGATGACTCGATTTTTCAGCTTAATTGAGTGTGTGCATTATGTGTAAGACTTAGTGTTTGGTAGGGATGTTTTTAATTTCCGAATACGGTTAGCACATTGTGGCCTTGTTCGTAGTTAATATTATTAAGAGTTGGCTTTTTCTTTTTTATTATTAAATATATTTTTTTTTATTATTATTATATATATATATATAATTTCATTAAAGATGCCTGACAAGTTACTGCGGTTAAGCTTTTTTTTAAATTTTTCTTGTGTTCGTGTAAGTGTTTTCTTTTCTGGACATAAAATGCGTAAAAATTGTCCGAATATTTCTGCATATCTGAGCGCTTTCGGTTATTCTTTTAGGCATTTTCCAGGATGATTTTTATTTATATTTTTAACTCAATGCATAGATTTTATTACGCGTGTAGGAATATTTTTCGAACACGGTTAGAATACTACTAATAAAAAAGAAAAAGCCAACATATCAACTATAAACACGACCATTTTTATTTCTTGTCTCGTTGAGAAAGGATACAGGCGTGTCCGAAAGTTCCGATTTTTAAAAACTCTTTATCATCATGTTTCCGGCTGTTGAAATCTATCGATCTCTCTTATCTCAAACGCAAGCATTGTGATAAATATGATGGGAAAAAAACGTGTATAAATCAATATAAATAAAAAAGATTATATTTCTGTTGCTGCTCGATTCTTTTCATGCCACGCCACTTCAGGACGTTGGCAGTCATGGCTTTCCACATATTTCTTTACTTTATTAACCCTGAATTGCTTTTATATCCTGGGAAAGATAGTGGAGTGGTTTCCCGTTGCCTTCTCAATGCTTTTGTATTCGGAGTTGCCATTCTTTTGGATTGCTTACCCCGGCCCGAAGGTTAGAGAGTGCAGTACACTCTACTGAACATAAGTATTATCATTAGTATATTCGGCTTAGTATATTTACCCACAGTCCCTCATTATGTTGGAATACTGTTTTCAATAATTGTTGTAACCTAGGGAAGGTTACTGAACAGAATAATCAAACGAAGGTTGGTAATGAAAGATAATACTTAGGACAAGAACAACGCATATATGATTCGCCAGCGGCGCGTAGAAGAAGTAGTCAACTGCTAGAAATGAGTCAATTGGATTCCACAATGAATTTCCAACTGCAGGATATCTACCAACCTCCACAGGTGGTCAGATATGGCACAAATTCGAATTTAATGTTAGGGTATGCGAGCCCGTAGGCTCGGCCAAATATTCCCCATAGACCCCGTATAAAACGGGGTCGGGTAGCTGTTTACGAGACGAGACTCTGCCCTTTGACATAGCCTCGTCTGTGGATCCTCTCTGCCCGGAGGCAGAGAGCTTGACCAGCACAGCTGGAGACGAATCTCCAACTGCAGAGCAACATACAGTATTTACTACTGTATTTATGTGAATGGGGACATACTCATTATCGTCTGTAGGTATGCTAGAACAACAAAAACAACAACAACATCTAATAATAATAATAATAATAATAATAAAACATGAATAGTCCCAATCATAGAAGGTGCGCTTGGAATGATAAAAAAGGAACAGAACACATTGAAAAATATCCCTGGAAATCCCATAACAACACACCGCTACCTGCCTTAGGTTTTCCCACAGACTTGGTAGGTAGTGGGACCATAGCAGAATTCAAAATAATAATAATAATAATAATAATAATGTATGTGTGCGTGTGTGATCTTATTTTTTTTCTCAAAAATGCTCAGTGAAAAGTGTCATGGTGCCATTTCTGACCTTAGGTCTCTGGTAGCGACCCGCGATGAAATGAGTATACGACAGAAATCAAAGAAATAATAATAATAATAATAATAATAATAATAATAAAAACAGAATGTGTTTTTTTTTTCCTACAGATTGCAGTGTATCTTTGAAGAACTTCAGAAAACTATCAAAATTCATGGATCTATCTTGAAGTGGAAATCTCAGAAATGAGGACATCAATAATTCCAGTTGTAGTTCGAGCACTCGGATTGGGTGGAAAAGATTCCATTAGACTCATTGAAGGGATTCCTGGAAAGAAATGCCTTAAAGAAATGCAAAAAAAATGTACTCACAAGTACCGTTCACACTTTAAGAATATATTTATCTATGTAAAATGTGTGTGATTTTAGGAGTGAGTGTTGAAGATTTTGTTTCATAAAAAAAATTATCAGTGGAAAATGTCATGAAGCCATTTTTGACGTTAGGTCCTTGTTTGGAACTCGGGAGGAAATAAATATATAAGAGAAATCAAAAGAAATGATAATACTAATAATAATACGTACTGACTTCTGGATACATATAACTAATTAATGGATTTATTTTTAACCTGATATTTTTATTACTTCAAATATTATTATACAGAGAACTTCGTACTTGAAATAGACGCCCCATTTTTATTTATTAAACAATGTGTATTATATGTCCATATTTCTGAGATTATGTACACTATATATATTGTTCGGACTATGGTCCTGATCTTTGCTGCCATATTTATCACAACGTTTCGGCCCTTGTACGATCCGGCCTTCTTCAGGTGGTTGGAATCTCGAAATGAACCCTTTGTTTCCAGGTATTGAACCCACACTCTTTGGCTCCTCAAGGACACATGGCATAGTGGATAAAGGCGTTAGTTAGATCCAGTGACAGGACCCAAAGAGTGTGAGTTCAATACCCGGTTAAGGCAGTGGCAAACTTGGAGAGGGGAATTAACAGGAGATAACTGATAACTGACATCCATTAGACATGGCATGTGGAACTAGAACAGTCTACCCCAGCGAGCGAAATAAAGAGTTTAGTTCGACATTCCAACCACCTGAAGAAGGCCGGAGCGTACAACGGCCAAAACGTTGTGATAAATATGGCAACAAAGATGAGAACAATAGTCCGAATAATGTAAATAGTGTGTATTATATCTATCGGCCAGCGCATTCGGGAAATTTCAGTAAAGATAATGCATTCCCTGGCAGGGATCGAACCTGTGCTCTTCTTTCCGATTTTTCTATCTCTCTATTTTTTTAACAACCCCTTCTTTTGTCTGTTATCTCTCTCTCTCTCTCTCTCTCTCTCTCTCTCTCTCTCTAAGCGTTTTCACATTCCCTCCTGTCTTTGCTACTTTTTCTCTCTGGGGCGCTCTTACACTCTACTAAAATGCAGTCACCTGACACTGATTCTGATCCTCCGCTCGCTTTTGCGCACGCGCGGGCGCCATTTTCGAAACGCCCGGCTCGAATATAAAACCTATTGACGCATACCGATTGCCTAACATGTCGACATCTTTGTTTTTAAATCAAATATTCACGTACCACTGGATCGGAGCGCGGTCGCTCGCCGTTTTCTCCTGTGTTTCTCCAACGGGGCACGATGTGAAATGAGACTACGCGCGCAATTCACTTGTTCCTGTGACCGAAAGAGAAGTGTTGTTTCTGGTCCACCTTACGGAGCAGTGCCCTGGACTCTCGGTGGCCGCAACAGTTTGCCTCGATTGCATCGATTTACTTCGGACAATAAAGAGAGAGAAAGTGGGCAAGAGTAGGAGAAAGACATAAAGAAATATGATAGAGAACAAGAAAAAAATAGCCGGTCTTATTTTCTAATCGGTTGCGTATTTGTTTCATTGTCTGTGTCAAGTGGACATAGTGAAATGCAGATTGGTGTGAATTTGCTTAAAGGTAGAAAACAGACGACAATGGCGGAAGAAAGTTTTGTTTTTGTTGGCGTTTGCCGTACGAATTTTATGAACGGGATGTGAATAAGATGGCTGCATGTGTGATTATGGGCGTTTAAACATTTTCGTTTTCTTTAATTTGTCTTTTTTTTTTCATTTTTCGACTCCATCTTTCTTTCATTCATTTAATCATTCATTATTTTTTTCGAGTTAATTTGATTCTTCGACTGTTTTATTGCAGGAACCTTTAAGATTCATTTTAACCTTTTCTAAATTAATGCCTTCATTCATTCGTTCAGCCATTCTTTCTTTCTAATTCTGCCCTTCATTTATTCTTTCTTTCTTTCTTTCTTTCTTTTTCTTTCTTTCTTTCTTTCTTTCAATGATTCCCTGTATTTGTTTTTCTATTATTTTTCTTTCTTTTAATTTATTCATTTATTCTTTTTTTTTTTCACTTTCTTTCTTCCATTTTTGCTTCTTATTAGTTAGATTTAGTCTGTTTTTTTTTTCTACCAGTTTCTTTCTTTCTTTTTCTCTTAGATTAATTAATTCATCATTTTTTAAAATTCTTTATCATTCTTTATTTTGCTTTTTTTCTTGCATTTCTTCTTCATTCGGTCGTTTTCATTCTTCCCGTTTGTTTTCATTTTTTGTCTCAAGACATTTTCCTGTTTGTTGAATGAATTTCTTTGTTTCTATCTTTCTTAAACTATATTTCAAGTTTTGTTATTTTTTTACTTTCTTTCTTGCTTTTCTTCTTCAACTAATCACTTCCCTCTTTTCTGGTTTTATTTTCGTTTTTTTTTAATTTTTTAACAAGACAACATTTTGTATTTTTATTTTTTTCATTTTCTTTCTATCTTTCATTCTTTCTTTCTTTCTTTCTAATTCTGACCTTCATTCATTCATTCTTTTTTCTATTTTATGATTTTTGCTTTCTTTCATCACGCAGTCTCTTATCTCTCTTCTCTTTTCTTTTAAGGTTTTCATGTTTTCTTCAAGATAACATTTCTTTCTTTCTTTACCTCATTCCATTTATAATTTTTATACTTTCTTTTTTCTTTGTCTCATGCTTTCTTTCTTGATTTTCTTCTTCAACAATTCACTTTCCATTTCTGTTTTCTTCCTTCATTTATTCTCATTACCACATTTCGCTATTTTTTTACTTCTTTCTTTTTTTTCTTTCTTTCTTTCTTTCTTTCTTTCTTTCTTTCTCGTTTTCTTCGCTTTTTCTGTTTTCCACTTTCTTTCTTTCCTTCTTTCTTTCTTTCTTTTTTCCTTTCTTTCTTTCTTTCTTTCTTTCTTTCTTTTTAACAAGCTTTTCCGTTCCTATTTTTTAATTTTTTCTTTCTTTTTTCTTTCTCTTAATCATCTTTTTCTATTCCCCATTTCTTTCTTTCTTTCTTTCTTCGCCTTTTCTATGTTTTCTACTCTCTTTCTTTCTTTCTTTCTTTCTTTCTTTCTTTCTTTCTTTCTTTCTTTCTTTCTTTCTCGTTCTCTTTGTTTTTCTATGTTTTCCACTTTCTTTCTTTCTTTCTTTCTTTCTTTCTTTCTTTCTTTCTTTCTTTCTTTCTACTCATTTTCTGTTTTCCACTTTCTTTCTTTCTTTCTATCTTTCTTTCTTTCTTTCTTTCTTACATTCTTCATTTCTAATATTTTATCATCCCGCTCTTTTTCGCTCACTTTTTTCTTTCACTTTGAAACATTTTCTTTTTTCTTCCCAGTCTCATTTTCCTACTCTTTCACTCTTCCTTTTTCTCACGCATTATTTCTACTTCTCCGCTTTCCACTCTCACATTATTCTTCCTGCCTCTCACTCTTTTTACTTTTCCTCTGCTTCTCTTCTTTCCATTTCCCCCCTCTCTCACTCTCTCTCTCTTCTTTTCCCCTACCCTTGTCTCTCGTAAGCAAATGCCCACTTTCACTTCCTTACACTCCATTTCACTCCCCCATACGCTCCGATTCCTTGTTCTTTACATTTCGCTGCTCAGCTCGTCCGCTAAACTCTTTCGATTCCTAAACAAATCAAAACCCGGAAACACTCATTCTTTCACTTCATTTTACCTCATTTCTTCCAGCACAATGTCTTTTTCAGGCGAACACCATGCAACTTTTCTTCTTCCGTAATTCTTCTTGACCATTTGTTTGATCCTTTTACTGCATCTATCATTTCTGTGGTTGTTTTCATTATTTTCGGCCATTAACTTTTTTAAACTTTCGTTTCTTGCCGTCGTCGTCGTCGTCTTCTTCTTCTTCTTCTTCTTCTTCTTCTTTTTTTCCTTCTTCTTCTTCTTCTTCTTCTTAACATTATTCAGTATTTTTATGCAATTTTTAATTCATTCCTGCAGAATTTCATTTTATTTTTTTACGCATGGATTCTTTCATTCATTCTCCTTCGACTTCGTTTTCTAAACTCTTCTTATCTTCTTTTACGCATTCACCACCACCACCATCACCACCATCATCATCATCATCATCACCACCACCACCACCACCACCACCATCACCACCATCATCATCATCATCATCACTACCACCATCACCACCATCATCATCATCATCACTACCACCATCACCACCATCATGATGATCATCATCATCATCATCACCACCACCACCACCATCACCACCATCATCATCATCATCACCATCATCATCATCATCACCACCACCACCACCATCACCACCATCATCATCACCACCACCACCACCATCACCACCATCATCACCACCACCACCACCACCACCATCATCATCATCACCACCACCATCCCCACCATCATCATCATCACCACCACCATCATCATCATCATCATCATCATCACCACCATCACCACCATCATCACCACCACCACCACCACCACCATCATCACCATCACATTCTCTTTCTGTTAGTGGTTATTTAATTTGTCTTCTTTTTCTTTCATACAATTTTACGTTTTATCATTCTACGAATTAAATGATTCATTCATTCATTCTTCTTCATTCTTCTTCTTCTTCTTCTTCTTACTGTCCAAACTCTCCAGCTTTTCCTTCTTTTTCTTCTTGTTATTCAGTATTTTTATGCGAATATTAATTCTTTCCTACAGTTCATTTTTTAAAATATTCATCTATTCATTCATGTTGTTGTTGTTGTTCTTCTTTTTCTTTCCCTTCCCCTTCCCCTTCTTCTTCTACCTATTATTATTATTATTATTATTATTATTATTATTGTTGTTGTTGTTGTTCAATATTTTTATGCGAATTTTAATTTTTTCCTACAGTTGTTTATTTAAAAAAAAAATTTTGTCAGTTTTCAATAAATCTTGCATAAATGAAAAATTACTCTCCAAATATACTCAATATATGTCTTTAGATATACACAGTCAACGACGAAGTTATTCGTACACCCATCAATTTTGTTCTTTCCGCTATGGCACCTAGAATTTATGAATTTAAGTGCAGTACTGAATTGGCGGCACGGTCACATACTTTTACAATTAAAATGGCCAGATGTAATCGTTCTATGCTAACAATTTTTTTCTCTTGCACTTCTCGCTTGTGGGTGTCTCTTCTGGCTTCTTGCTTTCCAGGCAACTCTGATCTTCAAAGAATTATATGCTGTGTTAATCTTTATATTCTGTCTTCTTAATTCATTATGTTTATTCCCCAACATTCCCACTTACGTCTTAGTGGCTTTATTGTCTTGCTTGGGATAAAAAAGAAGCTATTTTATTTGCCTCTTTTCTCTGTCTTGCATTCTTTCCTTATTATAATATCAATTGTCTTTTTGTCATTCTAAATATAAAAGTATAATATATTTTGTTTACAATTTCCCTAACTCTTCCTTGTTACTCACATGTCTAATCCATGGTATTCTTATCTTCCTTCTGTAGAAGTACGTTTCTGCTGCCTTAAGTCTATTTTTTCATCTGTGTGGAGATTGTCCAGCATTCACTGCCAAGTGGATTGATATTGCATAATAGTTTTGTATACTTTTCTTTCTTTCTCTCGAGTTTGTGGATATTCTTCGATTCTGCAGAATAGTTGGTGTTTTTTTTCTGTGTTAGCCAAAACAACAGAAAACGAAAAACTTTTGTCAATTATAAATTTGCATAAATGAAAAAATTACTCTCCAAATATACCCAATATATGTCTTTGTATATATATATATATATAGACAACGATGAAAGTATTCGTACACCCATTAATTTTGAATATTTTTATCCATTTCTCAGATTAATTTTGAATATTTTTATCCATTTCTCAGAATCTAATGCTCGTATGTTGCCAGGCTTTTATATGTTAATAAGCACAGAAAAAAGAAATATGAATCTCAATTTTCAGAACTATAGGTTGAATAGAAAAAAGTTGACAGGTGAATTATACACAATAAGAAAAGATAAAATGATTCGTACAGTATGAAAAATAGAAAAATTGAACAATTTTCACAATATTAATACTCAATAGCATGGCTTCTCATCTTTATAACTTGCTGCAATCGTTTTCTAAAGTTTTTGATGAGATTTAAACAAGTCTTTTCTGGGATTTTCGTCCATTCTTCAATGGTTATACGTTGTAATTCCTGAATGTTTTTTGGTGATCTGAAGCCACGCTGTCACTGATTTAGGCGTATGTTTGGGATAATTATCTTGCTGGACAGTAAATCTCCGACATAGATGAAGAGATTGCGCCGATAGTTGTAGAATTTTGATATAGTCTGCAGATTTAATTTTTCCTCAGATTTCCATTAATTTCCCAGTCTCCCTTGAAATAAAACAACCCCAAAGCATCATCGAGCCACCTCCATGTTTTAATGTTTCCATTGTGTTCTATGGGTGGAAAGCCTCACCTTTCTGGCGCTAAATCTTCCTTACATAATTATGTTCAAGAAGCTCAATTTTTGTTTCATCATTCCATAGTACTTGTTCCCAAAAGCAATTTTCTTTGTCGAACAACGTTTTGGCAAATTTAAACCGAGCAACAATATGACATGATTTGTGAAGAAGGGTTCGTCGTGGCCGGTTTCCATACAACCCATTTCTATTTACACAATGTTTTGTTGTGCGAGTTCTTACGGTGATTCCCATCTTATCCAAACGATGTCTTTCAAAATAACTCTTGAGTTTATATTAAACTCGCTCCACAGTTTTCGTGCAATTCTCGGTGACAATTTTGGTTTTCTTCCACGAACAGACAAATTCTCTGTCGTGTCAAACTGTTTAAACTTCCACATAACGAACTGTACAGTAGATCTAGGGATAGCTAACCGGTTTGAAATAGCGCTGTAACTATTTTCCGAATTGTGGAAGTTAATAGTTTTCTGTCTCAACGTTAAGCTCCTTTGTCTTCCCCATCGTGTTGTTACCTTAAGAATAACAATGATGACATTCTATACACCTGTTAAGGGGTCCACCCCTTTTATACAAGTGGACTCGCCTAGTGTGTACTTGTACTGCTGCCGGTGAATACCTGGGAGTGATACAGTGATAGTGTGAGGTAACCGCTTTGTAGGAGTCACAGTTGCGAGCACGTAGACTCAGAAGGAAGTCATACTTCGATACTGAATTTCCCAGACTGTATATATATTATTATTGCTACTAACCGCATTTCTAGATCTACTAACCGTAGTACCAATTGTATTATTACGTCAATACATTTATCTGTTATATTTCATTCCTGCGATTGTCATTCATTTGGGAACAGATTTCATCCTGGAATCAACAACATCACCACGTGACGTTCTTTGCTGGAATTATCACAAATATTTTACTGAATAATCTAGAAGACTTCACCGATAAAATAATCATGTAAATTACTTATATTTGCACGAATCAATCTAAAGTGCTATTTTCTACTGTACGAATAATTTTGTCTTTTTCTATTTTGCATAATTCGCCCGTCAAATTTGCTGTATTTAACCTATTGGTCTGAAAATTGAGTTTTTATATTCCTTTGTTGTGCATATTAACATAAAAAAAAACATTGCAACATACGGGTATTAAATTCTGAGAAATTGATTGAAATATTCAAAATTGATAGGTGTATGAATAATTTCGTTGTTGACTGGATTTTTGCCTGGTGATGCTTGTATGAAATGAAAAAAAAAAAAGAATAAAAACCAGTAGAAGCGAATAAGAAACCGTTACTATACTAAGAAAGTTTAAATGATGGTTGTCTAAATATTTTTAAATGCCATGTCGTTTCAAGACATAGGTAATCATGGTACTGTACAATTTTCTTTCCTGGGTATTAATAAACAGGCAAATTTTAATTAGAAACAAGCAAAGAACTACTATGGAATGCCAATCCGCTTATATGGAAGTGAACGCTGGACAATTTTCTTCAGATTGTCTTTAGATTTTTGTGTCGTTTTTTTTTTCCAACGTCTATTATAACAGATCCTATTTAAAAAGAGATTCTGACATCTCCAATTCTTAGCGCGATTTTAAGGTTGTCACCCTTACTAATGACCGTACATAATGTCTTCTTGACTATAGTCTATTCTTCCTGCTTATTTTACTGCATTGTCTAGAGGTTTCTGCAAATTCTATGACTGTCCTCAAATTGGTACAATCAAATATTACAAAACAACTTTAACACTGCTATTATTTAAATGTTTGAAAGATCACCACATTTATGCGACATCTACCTTCAGTGCTTGAGGGATCATGGCCCACCACAACTTCGTCTCGCTTGTAACGTTAGAACTTTTACCATTTGTTCTTGACTCTGCTCTCAAAGCAATACACACATACTTGTCAGGTTGCTTACTTCAAAACTAGGACAAACATAGATCTCCATAACTTCCTCTCCCTTATAGTTCCAAACAACTTTTGACCATTTACAACAATTTAATGTCACTGACCTGCCATCCATTCACATATGATTGTTAGGTAGTTTACCATTAGACTTTGTTGATCATGGCTCTCCATAACTTCCTCACTCTTATAGATCCTTGCAACTTTTGTCTCTAACTATTTAAAACCCTCCAGACATATTGTCTCTAATCTTTATAGTTGTCATTTGCATTCACATAGA